CAGTGTAATTTTCCCTAATCATCTTTGCCTACCTTTGGCTTCTCTCGTTTGCATTTCAATGAGTGGAGGGAGTGGGTGGAAAAACAGTTAATTGTGGAGAGACTAATTAATTTGTCGCATAATTAGCACAGGACCACCGGCAAAATGAGAGAAGCCAGCAGAGATGATGGGAGATATTCATAGCCAGACAGCTTCAGGAGGAATTCTGATCCAAGATCAGCTTCTGATATTTAAGAAAAACAGAACCTGAAACTGAACTTTCATCAGTGGTTTTATTCTGGGATGCTTTGGTCCAGATATTTTTACTCTAAATCAACCTAAACTGCAAAGGAAAATCACTAAATCAGTCTAAAACACAAAAATGAATCAGTAAAACAGCCTAAAACACAAAGATTAATCACTAAATCAGCCTAAAACACGAAGAATAATCACTAAATCAGTCTAAAACACAAAAATTAATCAGTAAATCAGCCTAAAACATGAAGATTAATCACTAAATCAGCCTAAAAACACAAAAATGAATCACTAAATCAGCCTAAAACATGAAGATTAATCACTAAATCAGCCTAAAAACACAAAAATGAATCACTAAATCAGCCTAAAACACAAAGATTAATCACTAAATCAGCCTAAAAACACAAAAATGAATCACTAAATCAGTCTAAAACATGAAGATTAATAACTAAATCAGCCTAAAACATGAAGATTAATCACTAAATCAGCCTAAAACACAAAGATGAATTGGTAAACCAGCCTAAAAACAACAATAAATCTCAAAGATAAACCTCTAAATCGGCCAAAAATGATTTCAACCTAATCACTATCAGCCATAAAGACAAAGATAAATCATTATGTAAGCAAAAGGTAAATCACTAAATCACCACAAAAACCACAGATAAATCATTAAATTGGCCTAAAAGACAAAGATAAAACACTAAATCAGCCTAAATGCAAAGATAAATCATTGTATAAGCCTAAAAGGCAAAGACAAATCACAATATAAGCAAAAAATGTAAAGATAAAATCATTAAATCACCTAAATGTAAAAATAAATCACTAAATCACCCTAACATGAAATTAATAATCACTAAATCAGCCGGAAAAATAAAGACAAATCAGTAACTTGGCCTAAAATACAAGGCGAATCGCTATGTCAGCCTAAAAATGCAAAAATAAATCACTTAAACAGCCTCAAAGGCATAGATAAATCCTTAAATCAGCATAAATGGCACATATAAATCATTAAATCAGCCTCACAAGCATAAATAAAATCACTAAATCTGCCTCAAAGGCATAGATAATTCATTAAAGCAGCTTAAAAGACAAAGATAAATCATTGAATCAGCCTAAAGGCAAAGATAAATCACTATAAATGCCTAAAATCCAAAGATAAATTACTAAATAAGCCTCAAAGGCAAAGGTGAATCAGTCAATCCCCCTAAACACAAAGATAAATCCCAAAATTGGCTTTAAATACAAAAATAAATCACCATCAACCATAAAGACAGATATATCATTATATACGCAAATAAGTAAATCACTAAATCACCCTAAAAAGCTAAGAAAAATCATTAAATTGGCCTAAAACACAAAGATAAAACACTAAATCAGCCTCAAAGACACAGATAAATCACTAAATCAGCCTAAATGGCATAGATAAATCATTAAATCAGCTTAGAAGACAAAGATAAATCACTAAATCAGACTAAAAGGTAAATCAACAACAGCCATAAAGACAGATACATCACTACATACACAAATAAGTAAATAACTAAGTCACCCTAAAAAGCAAAGAAAAATCATTAAATTGGCCTAAAACACAAAGATAAAACACTAAAACAGCCTAAAAGGTAAATATAAAACACTAATCAGCCTAAAAGGCAAAGACACATCATTATATAAGCAAAGATTGCAAAGATTAATCACTAAGTCACCCTAAAACACAAAGATAAATCACACAAAAACTAAAATAAATAACTAAATCCCTCTAAAATCAGTCTAAAACACAAAGATACATCAGTAAAATGGCCAAAAACACAAAGATGAATCACTAAATCAGCTTGAAATATAAAGATGAATCACTAAATCAGCTTGAAATGTAAAGATGAATCACTAAATCGGCCTAAAATGCTAGTTAAATCTGTCTTATAGTGTTTATTCTTGTAACTAAAAATGTTCAATCCTGCAAGCTCTTACGCATCCATTGGTCAGAAAATGATGTCCAGAGCTTTTAAAATGTAACACTGAGCAGGGCTCACTAGCACCCTCTGCTGGGCAGAATGTCGGTGGGCCGGCTCTAGTGCAGAAACTCTACAGCCCCCCCGTCCTCAATAATGCATGAGAGCGCTGCCGTCTGCTGAGAGGCGTGTGACAGTGCTCTCCTGAGCATTGCAGCAGGCTTCTCTGACACGCTGGTAGGGGGATGTTAGCAGAGGATGTTTGGCAAACTGATTTTTATTTTCCTACAAAAGAAATTGTGAATTTTTCAAACCCCGTCGAGAGAGAGAGAGTCCGGAAACAACATAGGCTGAGGTACGAGCAAACCTGTCAGCCGCCCACAGCAGACAGACCCCCTTTCCCTGTTTTAATCCTTTTATTTGGCTTTTAGTTCTCTGCACAGGAATGGGTTGAGATTACTAAACGTAAATGTGTATATAACTGACACGTGAATTAAAATATCAGCACAGCTGCTGGTGAAAGTGAGTAAACCGAGAGACAAGGCTGTGTTGAAGTGATAGATTTAATGTTATTTCAGTCAGTTCAATGTATTACATGTTTATATAATCATAACTACTATTTCGAGGTTATTCAGTCTATCTGTCTACAGCAGGTTTGTAGACTCAAACTTTCTTCTGAAATGTAAGTGTGTCCCTCTTTGCTGCAGCATCAGCCTCTACTCTTCTGGGAAGGCTTTACACTAGATGTTGGAACATTGCTGTGAGGATTTGATGGAGCATTAGTGAGGTCAGGTACTGATGTTGGGTGGTCAGTTCTGGATCTGATCATCCATCACTCCAGAGAATACAGCTCCACTGCTGCTCCAATGCTGGGGGGCTTTAGACCCCTCTAGTCCACGCTTGGCATTGGACGTGGTGACCTTAGGCCCATGTGCGACTGCTCCAGAGCGCCCATTCTACTGGTCAGTCAGTGTGGTGGGTGGAGGCCCTCCACAAGAACATACACACAGGTACCTGACATTAGAGCACTGCAGAACAGCACTGCCTAGAGCAGCTAGAACAGCCCTGAGACTTGGTGATGAGGGCCGAGAGGCTCCAGCAGAGGTAATGAGGCTCAGCCTGGAAAGTGAAAGCTTGGCCCACTCGGTCAGAGCGCTGTCCTGCTCTCAGCAGCGCTCACCTTGTAAGAACAGCACACCGGCGCAGACATCAACAGCATTCCAGCAGCCGTGTTTCAGCCCCTCTAACAAATCTGGATTATCGTGATCCTGAGTCATAATCCAGAACCGCCCTGTGTAAACATGCAGGACAGTCCAGTGAGATTTTAAAAGCCTGGGCTATTTGAAGAATGCTTCCCTGCCAGCAGAGCCGGGAAAGGAAAGGAATTAACCTCATAAACCCTAAGGGTCTGTATGTGAATCGATTCTCCACTCGCATAACTACAGAATTTACATATTAGATTCATAACAGTGAAGACTTCATAATGGAGACTTAATACTTTATTGTGGTTATGTGATTAATTAATAATTTATAGTTAATACTGAATCATTTCCATTAGCTACTGAATAATTAATAGTAGTTGCTGGATAATTCAAAATAGACACTGAATAATTCATAGGAGTTACTGAATAATTCATAGTAGATACTGTATCATTCATATTAGAATCTGAATAATTCATAGTAGTTACTGAGTATTTCAGAATAGATAATGAATAATTAAAAGAAGCCGTTGAATGTATTATAGTAGTTACCAAATAAATTATTAGTAGTTCATAGTAGATACTGAATAGTTCATAGTAGATGCTGAATAATTCATAGTAGATGCTGAATAATTTATAGCAGATGCTGAATAATTCATAGTAGATGCTGAATAATTCATAGTAGATGCTTAATAATTCATTGTATCTACAAAATAATTCATGCTAGTTATTGAGTAGTTTGTAATAGATAATGAATCATTCATAGAAGCCATTGAATATAAATTCTAAGTAGTTCATAGTAGATACTGAATAATCCGTAGTAGTTTCAGAATAATCAACAGCTCCTGAATAATTAATAGTAATTATTGAATAAGTTACAGTAGATACTAAATAAATTATAGTAGTTATAGAATAGTTCATAGTAGATACTGAATAAATAATTCATAGTAGATACTGAATAATTCATAGTCGTTTCAGAATAATGAATAATAGCTCGTGAATAATTAATACTAGTTACTGAATAATTTGTAGTTGTAAATAGGACTAAATAACTCATTGATTTTATAAATAAGTTCATAATAGATCATGAAAAAAATCAGTCAGTGAAAATAGTATCTATAGTAGTTACCAAATAATTAGTAGTTAGTAGTAGTTACTGAATAATTGAACAGCTTCCAGTAGATACTAAATAAATCATAGCTCTTACTGAACAGTTCATTTTAGATAATGAATAATTCATATTGGTTTCTGAATAACACACTTTATGATGCATGGTGAAGGCAGTGAGCCGAGGGTATGGACTGCTGTGTGTTGTATTTAAGGCTGATAAACTGTCTGACAGATAAAATCTGCTGATATTTAAGATTACACAGATTTGTCAGCATCAGCAGATTAAGCTCAGAGGATGTTCGATAAAACCAGCTAAATCAGTGATTATGCTTTAAAACAGTCTCCTCTGTGTCAGTGATGAACTGTTCATATCTCTCTGGCTGTAGCTGAAGTACTGCACACCAAACACTCTCGCGTTTCCGCCCCAGAGGCGCGAGGCGTGAACACAATGAGCGGAACGCCTCACCTCCTTCTCTCTTCACGAGCTTTTTTCACTTTCTTTTCTCCTTCCCAGAAGCAGACCTGCGCGTTTATCAGCAGCCAAAACCTGAAATACAAGAATGGGAGGAGGGAGAAGCGCAGACAGCAGAGCGCTGCCTTCCAAAGTTCACCTGTACACACACCTGCGGGTGAGCACTCCTTCAGCCTGAGCTCATCAGAGATGGAACAGCGGACGAAGACGGCGGACGGCCTGATGTGCTCTCCAACCTAGCAGAGCGGAGAAGGACAGAAAAAGCAGAAAAAGATGTGATTTTGATCTGGTATCGCTGTGATCTTTCAAGGTTGCTGTGATTGTCTGTTTGGATTACTGAACTTGGCTCCTTGTGTGGAGGATCATAATCTAGAACGCTGGATTTTCCTGTCTCTCAGATGCCTCTCGGTCTGGATATGTGGCCTCTGGTCCTCCTGCTCCTCTGCTGCTCTGGTGAGTGTCTCGCAAGTTTAGGTTGTTCTTCTACAGTTTAGCCTCATGAAAAAGTCAGTCAAACTACCATTTCATTTGTTTTACCCCTTAAAATCCCAGACTTGTTATTACTCATTAACTACAGGGACTTCAATGCAAACTAATGGAGCTATTCTTAAGTTATAGAAGTGTGTAATAACACTTTGAGCCTGCCGGTGGGCCCATGGCTTGGTAAGGGGTTCATTTCTATCCAAAACAGCCTTTAAGTAGAAGTTATTCATTATTTTCTAGGACATATTTCTGAGGAGATTAAATATATGATAATCCACTTGCATAATTAAGGTGAAAGGCAAGGGAAATAAGTGAAAAATGGAAATTAAAAAAAGATGAAATGGGGCTCCTAGCAACCACCTGGAAGACCTGGTAGACACCAAAACTGTCCCCATCAGATAAACAGCACTTAAAGCTTTCATCTTTGAAATACTGCATAATTCTGATTGTACTGCAAAGTCTTGATTAGATTTAATAAAGTATATGAAACAGAATAAAAATCATTATATTTCTAGTTTCTGATTGCATTTTAAAACTGGTTTGAACGTCTCAGACCTCACAACTGAGTATTAGACATATTGTGTGTAATGAAAATGTGTTGTGTATTGTGATGTGATATTTTTGCCATATTTGCCAGTTAGAATCAATTTTAACCGATTATAACAATATTCAGTAAAGTATCATTTCCTGGCCAAAAGATATTTAAACCTCATAAAGGTATTATCTGTGTTCCACTATTGTGTAAACAGTTCCTCCAGTTTTATTTTATTGTCCGGTACACAAACATGACATACAAACACGAAATGCATGTTAATAAATAAATAAAAATAAATCATACCAAAATCAGAAAATAGACTCAACTCAGCACTATGGGTCTGAAAGGATGTGTGGCTGTCAAAGGGGACGGACACATCAAACAAAGAAGCTGAACATGGACTGACCACCCCAGAGTCCAGACCTCAACACCACTGAATGTGTTTGATTACTTCAGAAAATCATCAACCAGCTTCTAAGACTGAACTTTGCAGGTGTGTCTGCTGATTCTTTGAGGAACTGAAAGTAAGTTTCCTGAGAAGAATGGAAGCTGGAATGAAGATAGAGTGACACACTGAACACCGGAGAAATATTATATTCAGCCGTTGAGGCTTCTGTGGAATTTTCGGAGAAGTCTGACACTGAAAAATGAAGAATTTCTACTTAAAGGCTGTTTTAACTTAAATAAATGAAGGGTCTCTTACGCTGCACTGACGCTGACTCCTGGATTACTGAATTGTGGATCTTTAAATCAGCCCCTCAGGGGCTATAAAATGTCTTATCATCATGATGGGAAAACACGCAGAGTCTTGGTGTCCTTTGGACTCACTAAAGTGTGAAGGCCTTTATATTGAGTTCACACTGCACTTCAGAACATGGTAGAATCACTGATGGCTCTGATTCTGAGCAAGAGCACACTGAAAAAAACGGGATCTTGTCATCAAGTGAAATGATCTTAAATGATTTGAAATGATCTTAAATGTAAGGTTTCCCATTTTGAGATTATTGTGTACTCATTATAAGATGATCTAGCTTATTTCCAGAAATGTTTTACTTGTTTTAGGCCATTTTATTAAGTACAATTTTCTCACTATGCTGTCCGATAAAACAAGCAAAATTACCTGTCAATATAGTGAAATTATTTTACTTAATAAAATGACTTAAAACAAGTAAAAATGTCTAAAAGTAAGTTAAATAATCTAAAATGAATCTTACAGCAATCTTAGAAATGTTAGATTTCTTGACTATATTTGAGATTTTGACCATTTTGTGCAGTGCAGCAGGACTCAGAAGTCTGGAATCACTGATAATATTCATTTTATTCAGTAATTACATTTTATTTACCTCCATTATTCACTGCGGGGTAAAAACATGAGGTGCAGACTGAACCGCAGTGATTGAATAAAACAAAATGAGGCCCGTGTAAAAGTTATTGTGCATTTTATATTTTTCCAATGTGTTAAAAATAATTCATATTTAGGTGTGTTCTCTGTAGACCCATATGGAAAAAAATATATATGCACATGTATTTTTGTATAATTGAAATGCATTTTAAATACTTTGCAGTCCATCTGAAATACATTCCGAACAAAGTATTACAGAATATATTGCCATAAAAACCAAATATATTTTAAAATGAATGGAGAAATGTTACACATAGAAATGTACCATATAAAAATAAATGAAAAAATATTCCAGTCACTGTTTGAGTGGCGTGCACAAGTGAGAGTGAGCTGTGCTGACCCAACAGCACACAGCAGGCTGATCACCTGAGGGTTTATTTGCGTGTCCTGCAGTAAAGCAGAGTCTGGAGAGCACCAAGTGTGCATGTTTGACCTTTAACTTCACTGAAATCTATATTTGCTCAAAAAACCAAAACATGTCAGCTAATTTGATCACACTGCCGTCCCAATCTGTTCTAACAGCTGAGCGACTGGATGACTGGCTTAAATGATTTTCTAAGTGTACATAGATAAACATGGGCAATTCACAAGAAGGGCCTGGGTTCGATTCCCCAGCCGGGCAACCAAGGTCCTCTTGTTTGTAGTTTGCATGTTCTCCCCATGTGGGTTTCCTCCCACAGTCCACAGTCAGGCGAATTGGAGATAATAAATTGCCCCTAGGTGTCCAGGGTCTTTCCTGCCTTCCAACCAATGACTGCTGGGATAGGCTTTAGCACTCCCTGCAACCCAGAATAAAGTTTAGATGATGACTGAATGAATAAAAAATAAGTGAACACGTCCTCTAAAGCCCATGTGTCAAAGATAGATAGATAGATAGATAGATAGATAGATAACACAGGACGGCTATAATAATATGGGTGATACAATATAAAAAGAAGAATATATACAAAAATCCCATCTACAGGCATATATACAAGTAAAACTATACCAAAAAATAAGATTCATCCTGAGATAGAAAAGGCAGTGCAATAATGAATGTACAAGGAGGCTCAGGTAACAGTATATAATGACTATACTGAATAAATATGTGCATATACTGGTTCTGAAATAAAGCATATAGGTGTGGAGTTTCCAGATGTGCAAAATGTGCGATAAGGCCTGCAGGCCAAGTCAGGCCCATGACACTGTCCGATTCAGCCCACTAAATTATTTTAATTTTGCAACATAGTGTGTGTTCTGACCCCCTTCCCCAACAACAATCTATGGGCCAGCGGTTACAAAAAAAAAGTGTAGTTCAAGCAAACAGGCAGTTTTTAAAAAAAATAAAAAATACATGTAACAATTTATTTTTTTTTCCGAATTGTTAAGTAGTAATAAGTATTCAGTGCCTATTTTGATGTTGCAGTTTTGACATATTTTGAATAAGCAATGGCAAAATGTTAAGTAAAAATGAAATAAAAACACAGCTGGCTCACGGATCTGCTGAGATTTTTCAATATAGCCCTTTTAGTGGTTGAGTTTGACACCCCTGCACCACAGAGAACACACTTCTGTCCATTTTAATGCAAAATTACTGTTTATTTGCTGAAAGTAACATATTGGGAAATAAATGAAACTTAAAATATGTAGAGAATTAATTGTGCACCATATTTGGGTGTGCTCATGACTGATCGAGGGGGAGGCTAACAAAGATTTTTCACAAAACACTTCATCACTTTAGTAGAGCGACAGATGTGCCTGCTTCGAAGGTGCCGTTTTTAAGTTCCTCTCTCGTCAGAGGAACAGAGGAAATAAACAGAGAATGTCTGACTGTCGTAAGCGCTCTTGTATTTGGAGGCATTTAGAGTCGCCTCCCTCTACACCTTTAAAAACAAAGGCAGACAAAGCCGAAGTATGACTGGTATCTTATTCCGCAGCCTGGAAGAGCAGATGTTCTAGTTATAGCAACTTTTACAAGGAGTAAAAATGGCATGACTGCTGCTTGAGGGGAAGGAATTCCACCGGCTTTTTATAGCTCCGTCACCTGCTGGAGCTCTGAGTGACGGAGCTAAATCAGAGATCAAGGCCGGGCCTGCCAGTATACCACAACACCATCTTCCAGCACAGCGAAGTCGCAGTGCTAAACTGGCATGCTGTACTGAAGACTGTACTGAAAAGTCAATCTGAAGTCAAAATTGACCTTTTCTTTCTCTTGTTATTTCATGTTCCTGGTCATGTTACGCACAATTCATCATGCCATATCATCATTTTAAAGGGCCTTCCTACATATATATATATATATTTCCATGCTCATTGTTCACATATTATATAGATGCACTTTGTAGTTCTACAGTTACAGACTGTAGTCCATCTGTTTCTCTGATACTTTGTTAGCCCCCTTTTACCCTGTTCTTCAGTGGTCAGGACCCCCATGGACCCTCACAGAGCAGGTACTATTTGGGTGGTGGATCATTCTCAGCACTGCAGTAACACTGACGTGGTGGTGGTGTGTTAGTGTGTGTTGTGCTGGTCTGAGTGGATCAGACACAGCAGTGCTACTGAAGAACAGGGTAAAAGGGGGCTAACAAAGTATGCAGAGAAACAGATGTGTGTGTATATACATACATACATATATAGTGTGTATGTGTGTGTAGGTGCCTTCTAATTACACACAGCTCATTACCCATTCAAAAGGCATAATAGTGTTGTGTTACTGTAATTGAACTCCTCCACTAACATTAATCGCTCTCTCTTTTCTATCATTTTTGCAGGTTACTGGTGTCACGACTGCTAACATGACAAGGCTTTATTTTGCATCCCGCAATTTTTACAGCATGCTCTCTTGGGATGAAGTGGACATCCCTGGTCAGAATGTCCTGTACAGCGTGGAGTATAAGCAGTGAGTGAAATGAGACCTTTTGACTTCCATCTAAACTAACGTTCAGACTCCAGTGCTGTGCAGACACAGTGTTGCAAGGCTTTCCTGTGTTTCCTGCTCAGCCTGGTTCAAGTCATGAGGGCCCTCCAGCAGTATTGCCACCCTTCATAAAGATAAATCAAACAGGTGGTTTGAGGTTTCAGTTTGGTTGGTCGATTGTATTTCAGATTAGAACTCACTCACTCATGTTTAGCAGGCTGAAGATTGTACTGAAGGGGGCACTATTACCATTCAAGTAGATTTTGGTACTCAGGGGCGGAGCCAGAACGTTTACAATGTGGCCCCTGTATTTTTAGGCAAACTAAATTAAATGAAACAGCAGTTTATCAAGTTCTTCTGCGCTTATATTTGGCCTATATTGATAAAATAACTCTCTTTTTTAATTAACTACTTAACCACATTTTTAAAAACTGATTTTATTCCTGTTTTTTAATGAGGGTTCAGTGAAAAATATTGTTTTATCCTTTGTACTATTTTTACTGGTGAATACTGAATCATGTGATCCAGAGCTCAACATATAAAAACAAAAAATGCTGCACTGTATTGATGTAGAAATATATTTGAGGATCTATGACTGTATTTTTCTAATGCAGACTAGCATTCTACAAGAGAAATGACTGGCTGATCATTGCGGGCATCATCATCAGATTCTTATAACTTATTAATAACCGCCCTGATAGCACATTTATTGGCACACATAGAAGGCAGAAGAACATTTCTCTGGTGGCTACATTGTGGATGATAGCTGTTACACTGGGGTGGTCAGAAGCGTGGCCATATGTAACGCCAGGGTGGCACTGGCCACCTTCGGCCACCCCTGTTGATACATCCTGAGAGTGGTGCTTGGTAACTGTGGGCCAGATTTAGTAACATTTGTACCACTGCAAACCTTGTTTTGGAGCTAGAACGGTATATATCCTCATTATATATATATATATGTGTGTGTTACGAAAACCAAAACACTCATGTATAAAGAAGAATAGCTCCGCCCACTCATGCTGAAGTTATAAGCAGTGTTTCAGCATGACCTGCTTTTTGAATGAAGCACAGGACATTGCAGCCAATCAGGAAAGGTCATTTACATATATTTTAAAGGCACAGCCAGAAAAACAGCCTGTTTTATTTGAGGGATAAAGAGAGGTTAGAAAATGGTCATGCAAAAGTGAACTGTTATTGTTTTTGGTACATAACACAACACATGATAAAATAAAATGCAAAAAAGTAGGATATGGGCCCTTTAAACACTCAAATAAAAATGAACTGTTCTAATAATATGACACAAAGGTCAGTGAATTGTCCAAATCTATGGGCAATGAAACTCAGTGATGGCCTAGTGGTGTCCAGTCGGCTCACTGCATCAGGGCACATATAGTTTAAAGGGTTAAATTATCTGCTTAAATGAATTAATGATAGGCGATTAGGTGTCGAGTTAACTATTAACTCTCAAACCCAACTAAACTGTGCTGTAATGAGTTGCGCTCTTGCAGCTGGACGTCTTATTGGTATTCCGCATCAGAACCCATCATGCTTTCAATCTCTGCCCAATCTCTTCCTTTAGCTATTGCTGACCTCACGCTCATCGGCCTCTCTTCCAGCACAGTGTCCTCCCCTCCCGTTCCTCATTTTCGTTCTTTGGCCTCCATTATCAGGATCACAGACTCCTCCCTGCTCTGCTCTTCACGTCTCTTTGCCTCTTCCCTGCTGTGTCCATTGTCCTCAGCTGTAACTATTTCCTGCTTCACAGCACACGGTCGGCGCGGCGCTGAGAAAATAACTGGCCGGAGCGCTCCGGGTTCAGGCTGAACAAAAAGGAAAATTTGGATCAGCGGAAAGTGCTTCGCTTTGTCAATGGAGAGAGTCACTTTTTACACTTTGTGGAGAGCTTGAGTGACAGTTTTTAGATGCAACAAACTGAAAATATTTCTGACGGATGCTCTTTTACAGCGAGGCCTGGGCTCAGCACCGCTGCACATCCAGTTCAGCCTTCAGTGCCCTTTTCTTCCTGACCACACAGCGGCCGCTAAAGACCTCAGTGGAAAGTAGCAGAGTAGCACATCTGTCCACAACTTGTCCACAATTTTAGGGCAGATTTACTAAGAGAGGCGCTAATTACTGACTTTGGTGGCGGCCAATTTAGCAGCTTATTTACTTATAAGTCCCATGCAAATGAACACAAACCCAACTTCATAATTGACATATGAGCAGCGCAGCGTAACCAAAAGTTTGGCTCATGAGCTTTTGGCATGAAAATCCATTTCCAGGCTTTTTTTGAGATTCAAATTTATTTTCTTATTTTCTCAAAATTTTGACTTATTTACGAAACCCTGCTGGCGACATCCCATAGAAATAAAAATAATGCATGGCCACTACCTAGTAAGGCGTGGGAACGAGATAGTTAAGTCGTGGCCATGATGTAGTAACGTGTGGGAACAAGATCCTAATGCGTAGCCACGACTTAGTAAGGTGTAGGAACAAGATCCTAATGTGGGCCATGGCTTAGCAAGGCATGGGGATGAGATAATTAAGCCTTGACCACAGTTTAATAAGGCATGATCTCACTTAATTATCACGTTATCATATTAGAAGTACCCCAACAACGATTAAACAACCATACAGTCCTTTGCAAAATCAGTCTCTGAGTGTTCCAGGTGGGCACTAACACTGGGGTACACAGTGTACACGGTGCTGCTGTCTCTGAACCTCTCTCTCTCACCGTCTCTCTTTCTCTCTCTCTCTCTCTCTCTCTCTCTCACCGTCTGATGCAGCCTTGATGTGGAACTGATTTCCTTAAAATCCACATTAACTATTTAAACTACAGGTTAATTATTTCATTGCTCATTTATGGAATTATTCAATATATACTACAAATTCAGTATCTACTGCAGATGATTCAGTATGAATTATTTACAAACTAATATGAATTATTCAGTATCTACTGTAAATTATTGAGTAAGTACTACACATTATTCAATGTTGTCTAAAAATTATTTAGTACCTACTATGAATTATTGAGTATCTACTGCTAATTATTTAGTAACTACTATAAATTATTCAATATTGTCCAAAAATAATTCAGTACCTACTATGAATTGTTCAGTACATACTGTGAATTATTCAGTAACTACTATAAATTGAGTAACTGTCAAGTAACTACTATACATTATTCAATATTGTCTAAACATATGTCAGTATCTACTATGAATTATTCAGTACCTACTATGAATGATTCAATATCGACTGCATATCTACTGGAGTAATTCACTATAATGATGTTGTCCAATATTAATCGTACACATTCTTTTATTTGGTTTTGCAAAATGTAAAAAAATTATACTCTCTTCTTTAGAGTTTTTGATGCAGTTTTTGTTCATATACTCATGTTGTGATGCTGGTCTTTTTAGATATGGAGAATCGTGGCGTCCGATGGTGAAATGCCAGAACATCTCCACAACTTCCTGTGACTTCAGCTCCATTATAACTGATATTTACATGGAACATTACGCCAGGATTATGATCAACAGCATGTGCTTTGAGAACTCTAAGCCCTTCATTCCTATACAACTAAGTGAGTGATTTCATCATATGACAAATCACTATTGTCTAAAGAAATGTATAATTAATCTGTATTATATATGTATTTTTCCAGATATGTATTTATTAAATTTCTCTTCTCTTCCTTTTCCTTTCTTCTTTCATCTTCTCAGCCACTCTTGGAGCTCCAGAGGTGTCCGTTAGCACTGCTGAATCCTCTTTCACTGTGACAGTCACCACTCCCATGGGACCTCAGAACAGATCGGTTAAGGAGATCAGCCGTGACGGCTCTGGACAACTACACGTTAACTACGAGGTCCGCCTCACACACCCAGCATCCAAAGCTGGACAGGTAACCTTCGGTTCCGCTCTGATCATCAACCATAGATAGCGAAATATTTGTGCATATTCTGAATAACACAATAGAACGTACTCAGCACTAACATACAGCTGGTTCAGCACATTACACTTGTGTACAACACTATCAACGCTGGATCAGTTTTCCCAGAGAAGGTTGTGTAATTTCATTTGTTGGAACTTGATTGGTTGATGGGATCAGGATGAAGTATCTGACTATAAAGTTATAGGTGACATCAGTGTAATGCAACAGGACATGTTCACTAACAATAACAACACGGCACACAGTCGGGTCTATTAGCAGATTTTGTTTTTCCATTAGTGCAAGCTGGATTAGAACAGGAGTACCATTACTAAGAGAGCTCTGGATCAGCCAACTGAAGATTCACACCATTGATTATACAGATTCATACACACTGCAGATTCATACTGGATTAAAATCACTCCACAATTATTACAGTCAGACTGTATAAACTACACACACTACAGATTCACACTGGATTAAAATCACTCCACAATTATTACTGTCAGACTGTAAAAACTGCACACACTGCAGATTCATACTGGATTAAAATCACTCCACAATTATTACCGTCAGACTGTAAAACTACACACACTGCAGATTCATACTGGATTAAAATCACTCCACAATTATTACCGTCAGACTGTAAAACTACACACACTGCAGATTCATACTGGATTAAAATCGCTCCACAATTATTACTGTCAGACTGTAAAACTACACACACTGCAGATTCATACTGGATTAAAATCACTCCACAATTATTACCGTCAGACTGTAAAACTACACACACTGCAGATTCATACTGGATTAAAATCGCTCCACAATTATTACTGTCAGACTGTAAAACTACACACACTGCAGATTCATACTGGATTAAAATCGCTCCACAATTATTACTGTCAGACTGTAAAACTACACACACTGCAGATTCATACTGAATCAAAATTGCACGGTTATTACTGTCAGACTTTAATTATAGTGCCTAATCCAGCTTGAATAGAGTTGAAAAATATTACGATAGTACTATTTAACAACTATAAACTACTATTACTATTAGTATCAGTAATATGTCATTACTGAAATGACATTACCCGAGTACTCTAAAATGTAAATGTGGCCAATAGTTTCGACTTGCCTGCAGTTTGCATGACCATGAACAAAAATTAGCCATACAAATTCATGATCTCAGGACTGAATTTTGACAACCTCAAGACATAAAATGGGAAAAATCTCATGAAAAAAAATTTATTGACATAACTAGCATTTAACATTCAGTAAACTAAGAATAGCCTTGAAAACCTGCTGAGACTCCTTCTTTTCTGCTTTTCCAGAAGGGGATACGAAACACATCTGGCGTGATCACTCTAAGCAATCTGGAGGTAAACACAGAGTACTGCGGCACTGTGTTCTTCCTGTGGACCCATCCGTCCAATCTGAAGCAGAGTGAGAGCACCACCTTCTGTGTGACTATCCCAGGTAAGAACTCCTCCAGGATTCAAACTACATTAGCTGGTGGTCCTCTCTGCCCCGCCACGCTCAGCAGATCTGTTTATTTTACCTCCTGACTGCTGCTGTGTTTACATGCACTTTTGTTTAGGATGGTAAAGTCCAACCTTGACTTGTTCCTAATCTGATAAAAGCTTTATTATTATTATTATTATTATTATTTTGGAGTGTAATTAATCCATTACAGTGCAGTCTATAAGCATCTGAGCACTGACACACTGCAAAAAATAGTATCCAGTCAAGTGAAAATAGATTAAATCTAGCCGATATATCTAATGTTTCTTATTTTGAGATGGTTGTGCACTTATTATAAGATTACTTAGCTTATTTCTAGACATTTTTAACCTGTTTTAAGTAATTTTATTAAGTAAAATTCACTAAAAATCTCACTATACCGGCAGAAAATTAAACTGGTTCCAAGCACATTTCTTAAAACAAGCAAAATGATCTGCAAATGTAGTGAAATAATTTTGCTTAACAAAATTTCTTACAACAAATAAAAATGTTTGGACATATTTCAAATAATCTTAAAATATGCTTACAACAATCTCAACAGGAGAAATACTTGATATATCAAGATTATTTTACTTACCATACAAATTTTTGCAGTGTGTCAGTGTTCAGATGCTTATAGACTGCACTGTAATAGATTAATCTCACGCCATGTTATTGTTATTACTATTATTACTCATATAATAATAATAGTAATAAAGCTTTTATGACATTAGTAACAGCTCAAACTTGGACTTTACCATCCTAAAGCTGTTTTGTTACTGTGCCTTTAAGACTGATATATACAAATGACCTCTCTTCTGATTGGCTGCCCAGCATTGTGCCTCTTTCAGAATGCCGTCTGGGCTGAAAAACTAGATCTAAGTTCAACACACATGGGCGTGGCTAAAGTGCTGTAGGCTGAATAGGCGGACATACGTAAAGGTGTTGTTTTTTTTGTGACCTCACAAAAAAGGCCTCATTTAAAATGGGCTGTTTACACATATGGACTGTATGGAATGAACATTTTGAAACTTTAACAGTGTTTACATACTACATCAGACTCTCGAATTTCAGAAAAAGTGAGGAAAATCCAGCTTTCCATGATATGGGCCCTTTAAAATGCAGTGTACTTGCTACATAGGGGCCATAATTCCAGACTACAGTGTAAATTCACCAGATTAATGGTGGGTAAATAAGTTCTCATTTAACCGCTGAGCTGCAGATAGTGGACTCATAAGGAAAAGACCCTGCAAAGCCGTTTTCCCTTTCACATGTTTGAGTTTTGATTGCTCGCTCTCCAGGAAGGCCCAGATTGCGCAATTCTCAAACATCCCGTTCTTGTTTACCCAAGACTCACTTGTCATATCAGGGCCTGAGCACTTTTCCCAGAGTCACGTTTGCCATGAAAGCTGACCTTTATGCATGATTCTGACCAGACGAAGTGGAGTAGCCTTGTTAACATTTACTTTTCTTCCTTTTGTCTCTCTGTCTGTAGTGAAGCCCTGGATGCACATGTTCATCATGCCTGGTTTAATAGCTCTTTTCCTCCTGATCACCCTGGCCTTGGTCTCATGCCAGCTGTATGTTACGAGGAAGAGTCGTCTGCCTAAAGTGCTGGTAAGAGGCTCTTTTTTCAAACAGGACTTACCTGGAAGGCGCCTCCTCCTGTTCCAGGCACTGATAGCCTGTAAGATTAGAAACCTGAGTAGAGAGTTCAGAGAGGAATGTGCTTCATAATTTGCACCACAAATGCAAATCTTTTTGCCTATGGCACATTTTTAATAATGGATTTTCCACCACAGGCTGTGATTGACTGAACGTTATTCTGTTTTATTCCGCTTCAGTTAGCAGTATTAGCATATTAATCAGTATTAACCAACATGTGTCAGTTTAGCTTTTCTTCACTTGTTCACCTTTATATATTATGTCTAACCTGACTTTCTCTGTGGAAAATCACACATGCACATATCATTAAATTAGCAGGTGCCTTCGGGCTGCTCTGTTGCATCAATTGCAAGTGAATGAAACACTGTTGTGTTGTATTTACGTGAAGTTAACTGTGGTCTGTCTCACAAAGCAGGATTTCTTGCTTAGCCAGCTAATGCTAGGCTTAGTTTGATCTAAATCTGGGCTATATCACCATGGCAACTCAGCCACACGTCTAACCCGCTCGAGGGCTGGTCGCATTCAGGATTTCAGTTATTAAACTGGCAGAGGGGGCACTTCAGGAGGCTTACATACAGCAATTCAGCAATTCAAACGTAAAACAAAGTACGCCTACAATAACACACTGATATCTGATGCTGCATGTGTCAATATTAAACAGGAATATCATACATGTTCAGTATTGAGATTCAGTTTTGTTGCCTATTACAATGACATTTTTCTTTCCATCATATTTCCGTCATATCATTAAAACACTAAGCCATTTATCCAATTTTATTTTTGCAATATATCCCAATAATGACCAACATGATACTAAATAAGAAGAAGAAGGAAGAACTATTAGTAACTGTAATAGCATAAGTCAACAAACAATCTCAGTACAGTAAAGAAGTGTTCCAGGACAGATTAGTACAGATCTTTTTTGTTATTACTGACTATAATTAAACAAAACAACAATGTATTTTGGCTTTAATTAGAGTCTAAAACTGTAATTGACTGCTATTTTACATAAAACTGAAATCTGGCAGGTCTTTTGCAACTAAGCTACAGTTTTTGACAACTACTCCCCAGCCCCCAAAATTCCCACATAATTTCAAAAAGTGGGGTGAACATACCCCACTGTTTGCATCAGTGGCATCAGTTATGTCAAAAATATTACTCTACAAATTATACTATGCGTCAACAATGTATAGAAATTAACCATTATTCCAATAAGCACTAATAGGTTTTTTTTCCCTCTTTAAAAAATTAGCCACTAGACTCCCAACACTGGCTGTTTGTCATAAGCATCATGCTTTCATTAGCATCTAAACCTGTGTTTAACAGAGAGAGTCGTTAACCGTGGTTGTGTTTGTTAGATTGAAGCTGAAACTTAGTTAGGAACACTGTTTAAGCTGGACCTGCTTTGTGAGACAAGCCCTTGTCCTTGAGATGAAGTAAACATCAAGTTTGAAATTCCTTTTTTGTTTTTCTCTCTGAAACAGATCATGCCAAAGATTAGCAATCCTCCGTGTTATTCGGATCCTAAAGTGAAGCTAGACGACGTAAGGATATGCTCGGAATCTCCATGGAAATTTGACAAGCCTGAGTCAGGCTTGTGTCCTGTTATGGAGGAGTCAAAAGATGTAAATGAAGGGGGCAGTTACGCCGCCCAGGACTGTCAAGACCTTCCTTGGCGATGTAATTCTTACACCAATCAACAGGTGGCGCCGGTCGAAAACTGCAGCCAAAGCAATGACTCCGCAACCAGCTACAGTATGGTGCTGACTTCCATGGTCCCTGAAGATCCGGAGGAGTCGCCCGACTCTGCTATCGAAAGCAACGACCTTCCAGGAACGACGCCCTGCGCTGGAGATTGTATTGACCTGTGGAACCAACGGCCAGCCCAAGGCCTGGACGAGAAGGACCCAGACTCCAATAGCAAGGCTTTAGTGCTGCCAGTGTCACGTGTTGCCAATGGAAAACTTGAATTCTCTCAGTTAACGTTCCTGCCTGAGCTTCTGAGTCCTTCAGGATTATTGGCCAACGGCTCAGAAATCACACCCCTCATAACAGGATTGACCCCAGCTGGAGAAAGGACTCCTTTGCTGACTGATCTCGTCACCATGGACGAGACGGAAAGGTCGAACGGTGGATTAGCTTCCAACTATGGAAGAGCCTACTTCCCAAATTACGTCCAGCAGAACATTCCGGGGGTACCCTCCACTGACACCATTCCTTCAATGTCATTATCTGACTGTGCCTCAAGCTACAGGCAGAACTGGGTCCCGGGAATACCCCTAGAGTCTCAGTTCAATGACAGGGAAACTGAGCAGTTGACTGAATCAGAGGAAGAAGAGGAGGTAAAGGAACCACTGTCAAAGTTGGGGGCCATCTTTTTGGATGGATTGGTGGTTCAAATCCAAGGACAGTGTCTTTTTCCGAAAGCAAGTCCGTAGATAACTGTGGGAATGTTAATGCTCACACATGCTAATGTTGCTGAATGAACACTATCAGGGGTCAGTTAACATTATGCTAATGAGTTTGTGCAAAGGGCTCCCCTAGCTTAGCATGTTCTCAAAGTGCCACAACTGTGATACAAATGTGTTTTTTCCTGTCATGCAAATCAGATTTGAGCCAATTTCATAAGTGCTCCTAGATGAGATGCGTACCTATTAGCAGAATGCTACTGCTTCTCCCAAACATGCTAATGTTGCTAATAATGAATACAAACTAGCCTGTTAGGGGACAGCTAACAAGATCATGTTAACCATTACACCAGCTTAGCATGTGCATTAGCATTTCTAGGTAAGAGAAAGAGCGAGGAGGAGACTCAGCTGAGCAGCAAGCTGCTGTCAGTTTAGGAGCTGGAGTGAAGGACGATGGATGCTAAGGCAGCTGCTGAAAGCTCAGCTGGACGCATCACTGCTAATCCGTGAAGGCTTCCCACATCAGAGTGTAGGAAGTGGGACATGTTCTCCCCTGGGAAGAGTCTCATATCTGTAGCTTTTGTGGTGCTACTCTGAATTGGTCCTGGAGGAATGCTGCACTGTTTGACCTACACAGATACACTTACACCTCAACACAGGGTCATCAAAGAGGAGGGGAGGTTTAAGTGGAGAAATCATTCACCAAACTAGGGCGCAATGTATCACTAATCCTTTTTGTGATACCTGCCTTCAGGGCCTTTTCTGAATGTTTTGAGGAAATACTTAGGTGACATTCTAGTTGGGAGACACCGCCCACATTCACTATTATTTTGTAGGCCTACTTGGAAGACATCACCCATATTAACTGTTATTTTATAGGCCTTAGGGAGACGCCACCCACATTAATTATTATTTTGTAGGCCTAATTGGGAGACACCACCGGCATTAACTATTATTTAGGTCTACTTGGGAGACACCACCAGCATTAACTATTATTTTGTAGATCTACTTGGGAGACACCACCAGCATTAACTATTATTTTGTAGGCCTAATTGGGAGACACCACTAGCATTAACTATTATTTTGTAGGTCTACTTGGGAGACACCACCAGCATTAACTATTATTTTGTAGGCCTAATTGGGAGACACCACCAGCATTAACTATTATTTTGTAGGCCTAATTGGGAGACACCACCAGCATTAACTATTATTTTGTAGATCTACTTGGGAGACACCACCAGCATTAACTATTATTTTGTAGGCCTAATTGGGAGACACCACCAGCATTAACTATTATTTTGTAGGCCTAATTGGGAGACACCACCAGCATTAACTATTATTTTATAGGCCTAATTGGGAGACACCACCAGCATTAACTATCGTTTTATAGGCCTAATTGGGAGACACCACCAGCATTAACTATCGTTTTATAGGCCTAATTGGGAGACACCACCAGCGTTAACTATCATTTTATAGGCCTAATTGGGAGGCCACAAGTAGACCTACAAAATAATGCAAACAATATTTTGCATTATGCAAACGATATTGACCCCTTAAATGGCCAGGGCCTGCCAGCGGGCCCAAAGCTTTATTACATACTTCTGTAACCTAACAAGATCTCAATCAGTTGGCATTGAAGTCCCTGTAGTTACTGAATGACAAGACTTAGTATGTAATAAGCCTGGGATTTTTAAGGGGTTTAAAAAAAGCATACTTTTTGGGTTTCTTGTAGCTCGGGGGGTCCCACGTGACTGTTTATACTGCTTAAGGAGGTGGGAGCCTTTGACATGACAGATATTTTGGGGTGGCATCTAAGGTGGCCAATTTCATGGAAGGCACTGGCCACCCTGGCCACCCCTTTAAAACTGTAAAACCACGCATGTCTCGCAGCCCTACACTACAGTGTCCAGTGCTGTAGTCCTCCAGGACTGGTGTTGAGTATCTCTGGTGTCTAAATGGCCAGTTCTAGTTTACACATACTAGAGTTACACAATCTCTAGTATTTTGCCTCACCATGCACCAGCTGCATGGATCTCTCTGCACTTTGATTGAAACAATGCATGTCTGTAGCACCACATATTACTTACATGATCTCGTATGAAGGCCATGGGTAAGGCTGAATGAAAGACCACAGTTACAGTACTGTGCACAAGTCAGAGACCCCCCTTTATTTGTTTATTTCCATTTAAAATGGCCATTAAGTACAAGTACAAGTATATTTAACTGAAAATTCCACAGAAGCCTCAACAACTAAAAATAATAGCTGAACTTTGGTGTAGACTTCTGAGAGAACCTTGGACAGCAAAGAAAACAAATGAATGGGTCCTTGACCAAATCAGGCCTCATTTTAACTCGAAGCCCAGATGACCACACTGAAGCTCTTATTTCGGGAGATATTCTGAGAAGAACCAGTTCTTTGGAAAAGGCCATTATGCTTGGAAGGTAAAATAGGAAGAGGATGACCAGATATAAGATGGATGGAGACAGATGAAGTAATCATGAACCAGCCATGAAGACTGAAATCCCAAAGACAAGACAGGACATTATGGAGAAACAGTATCTATATGGTGACCAGGGGTCAGACACAACTTGACGGGACTTAATAATAATAATAGTGTCTCACTCTTTCCCTTTATTCCAACTTCCATTCTTTTCAGGAGACTCACTTTCAGTTCCTCAAAGAATCTGCAGACACACCTGCAAAGTTCAGTCTTAGAAGCTGGTTGATCATTTTCTGAAGTAATCAAACACATTCAGTGGTGTTGAGGTCTGGACTCTGGGGTGGTCAGTCCATCGTTCAGCTTCTTTGTTTGATGTGTCCGTCTCCTTTTCTCAGTGAGGTTCTTCTTGATCAGCTACACATCCTTTCAGACCCACAGCGCTGAGTCGTCTTCTCACAGTGGAAGGATGGACAGAAACACCTGTGGATGTTTTCAGATCTGAAGCAGCTTGATTTTCTCCTCTCTCTCAGAGATGAAAGCTTTTAGCGCTGTTTATCTGATGGGGGCAGTTTTGGTGTCTACCAGGTCTTCCAGGCGGTTGTTAGGAGTCCCATTTTCTCTGTAGTGTTTGTTTTTCAGAAATATCTCCCGAAAAATGAATAACCTGTACTTAATAACCGTTTTGAATGGAAATGATATAAGTGAAGGATGGTCTCCGACTTTTGCACAGTACTGTTTTTGTAGTGTTCTTTTGTTCTTCAGATCATTTTTCACTTGACTTCCAATGAAGTCTTCCTGAGACCCTGTTAATATTATCTTTTATTCATGTTTTTTTTTTAATGTATCTAATCTTCACTGTCAGATTTTCAGTTCTTAACTTATCAGAAGAAGGTTGAAATACTTTTTGAAGTGCATCATAAAAGGTGTCAGCTTAAAACGAGGCTCATTCTGAGGCCTGTAGATAAGCTCATTGTAAGGAACAATCACTCAAAGGTGCGCTTAAAGAGATTTTCTTCAGGGAGCTTCCTTCAAAGTTCTTGATGTGACAAACTGAAGCATTTTCAGCTGAAAACATTTCAGGTTTTCCTTCTTTTTTTTCCTCAGTGCACTAACGTCAGACTGTATGCGTGAGCAATGTAAATAGACTGAAGCAGGAAACAATGATACGACTGACTGACGTCTTTGTTCTTTGTTTGATTCACCTGTTCTTTTGTATTGGGCACCGCATGTGAGTCAATAGCCCTGTTGTTTTCACAGTGACTTTCCTGAAAATAAAGGTTCTAGATGGTTCTTGGCTCTAGAAAAGGCCTTGGTATACAAACTTTACATTATGTGGAGGTTCTTTGAGCTTTAAATAGGCTGTCAGTTACAAAAATAGTTCTTTAAAGGGCCCGTATTTTATTTGTTTTACCCATTGTTTCCCCTGAGCTCAATAAAGTTTGGGCCACTCTATTTTCCAAAAATCCTTTTTTATATAACCTTTTCATATCTTAGAGCTGAATAGACTATGTTTGTTATTGTGCCTTTAAAGGGCTCTTATCATGAAAATACAAAATGTCCTTCTTTTTTTTCAAAATAAAAGCATTTAATATAGTATGTAAACATTGTAGAAATACAAATGAAGCTACAAAAACAGACCGTTTTCAATTTGCCGTTTTTATGATGTCATAAAAACACATTTACATCTATCTGCCGAGCCTGCAGCAGTTTAGCTCCGCCCCTACAGACTGAAGTTATAAGGAGTGTACAAACAGCCGGTTTGATTGCAAGCGTAATTTAATTAGCATTTAAAAATTCTTACATTAAATCTTAAACATAAACTAAATACTTATTTTCCTTTTAACTTTTTTTACAATGTGTTTGATGGATTTTACTAACAAAAGTTATAATTGCCTCGATTTCAAACCAACCTGTTTTATTTGTATTTTGTTTGCATATTGTTTTGTCTTTTTGGTCATTAAATACCACAAGCATTACATGTTGGCCCACAAGACAAAAAAAATAGGAGCATCCCTGCTTTAAAGGTTCTTTAAGGAACCCAAAGTGGTTCTATGGCATTGCAAAGAGCCATTTTAGCACCTTTATTTTTAATAGTGCACCCTCATATTACTGCCTACACTGCAATAAATGGTATGTTGTCAAGTAAAATGATCTTAAATTTGGTCGATACATTCAATATTTGTCCTGTTGAAATTGTTGTAAGCTTATTTTAAGATTATTTAACATATTTCCAAGCATTTTTTTTACTTGTTTAAGTAATTTTATTAAGTAAAATTATCTCACTATATTGTCAGATAATTTTGCTTGTTCTAAGAAATGTGCTTGAAACAAGCTAAATCATCTAAATAAGAGCACAACCATATCAAAATGGGACATATTCGATATATCAAATAGATTTAAGATCATTTCACTTGACAAGATACTATTTTTGCAGTAACAACAAAAAAAAACAAAACATTTTCAGATATTTTTTCACATCATTTGATGATGAATTGACCAACAGAAATGCTGCAAAATTACTTGAAATAAAATCTCTTTACATTTACTTACTTTAAAAGTTAAAGTTTTTGTTTTGTTTTTGTTTTGTTTCGTTTCGTTTCATTTCGTTTTGTATCGTGGACAGCGCTGATATTCTATCACTGTAATAGAAGAAGCCAGTTTGTTCTGGTTGCTCCTCCTGCACTACGAAGGTGTCACGTTCACGTCTCCATTACTGTGTCTCAGATGGGTGAGTG